GGCACGTGTGTATGAGTAACCCAACTAAGAAAAAAAAAAATTAAACATGTAAATTAAAGCAATAAAATAATATTAAAAAAAAAAAACTTGAATTAAGGTTAGTATTGGATACTATGTCCTTAATACAATTTACGTTCTGCATGGTGCTGACGGACTCTGTGGTGTGTGTCTCCCAGGATACAATGGTCTACATTCACCAATAGTAACACTACAAACTCGTGGATACGCTGAACCTCCTTCGTGTAACACTCTCTCTAATTCAAAAATGCATATATACTATATAAATGCTAAATTGGATGCAATCCGAACCAAATGGTTTGGACCAATCTTAATATGGCTCGAGTAAATTGGATTAGGGTCTAAATGGCTCGGACCACTTGACCTATTGTTTGAATCCACTTGGGTTGTGTTCAAGTCTAGAAAGGGAGAGAGAAGAAAATGAATTGAACCAATTGCAAATGGCAGCCCAATGGGGTATTTATAAAAATAGAATTGCCTTTTTGGATTGGGTGTGTCTCTTCATCATTAGACACAACCATTTATGTGTCTCTCCATCACTGGATATAATCATTTATATATGTCTCTTCATCACTGGACACAACTATTTATATGTGTCGCTTCATCCCTGGACACAACTATTTAAATGTGTCTATTCATCACTGGATACAACCACTACAATAGGTTGCAATAGTTCACATTAAATAGGTTATATTTGTTGGTTTTGAGTTGAATCTTTTCATCCCACAACTAACCAGTGATCACACTTATTCAGTCAAAGGCATTTGTTGATGACTGATGAAACAATTTTCATTCAAAAATTCTAACAGCAAGTCCCAAACATCGCGGGCACGCTAAGCAGCCACACCGCTTCTAGTTGACAAGGGCAAGAGTGAGCCTTAATGGAAATAGTGATTTTCAACAAAACAAAGTTTTGTGTGCTAGATAGATCCTTGAAAACTCTAGAATTCGATCCTCTAAGCCCAAATATGGTATATGGATGCTTAGAGTGCCAGCTTGTTTATGGCATTTGCTATGTTTTGGATGACCAGTGGTGGGATGTCCAGGAGATGAAATCATTCCACTATGATCTTGTATAAAATCCACATGTGTGTTGTAAATGAGACCAAATTGGAGCGGTGAATGAGCATGAGAAGAAGATATGATTCAGGGATTCCTCGGACAAGAGGCATAGTGTGTAGTGGTTTGGAATATGCTTGCATGCCATGGAATGGTGATCGAGTGTGGGTAGCTTGTTGAGGACAGCCAACTAAAGTATAACTCTGTGTCTTGGGATGGACAATGAATTCCAAACCAGTTGATACCATGGAGTAGGGGATGCATGCAGGAGAAGCTAATGACTCATGAATTGTGTGCTTGAGAGAGAACTTACCATTTGGGGATGGATTCCAGCTGAATGAATCAATTCCTTAACCAGGAAAGGGAAGATGTTGCAAGCGGTAGTAGTGAGACGATATTCCTTAGAAAGTTCCATGAGTATGTTGACAACCAGCTGCTCATTCTTGCATTTAGAGGGATTCTAGTAGTTTCAATCTGGGCATGAGAAAATCTATTGCATAGAGGACTGTCTTCCAACCAGTTTTTATGCCAGAAGGTAATACTCTCTCCATTCCCCATCTTTGCCTTGATCAATCTTTTGAAAGCATGCCTGAGTTATAGTAGACATCTCCAATTATAAGAACATTGCTATGGAATATTCAATTCCCGGAAGTATTTGCCCCTCACTTGATGATCAAGTATCCACTGGACCCAAGAGCTACTTTTGCATTCAGTAATGACCATTCACAAGTCTCATCATAGAAGCTCTATTGATGAGCTCCATATTCGGAATGCCAAGTCCACCCATCCTTTTTGGTCTGCACACATTACGCCAAACAACTTTTGCTTTTTTTTTTTTGTTAAGACCATTGTCAGATTGTTTATGCACAAACTATTGATTTCATGGATCATAGCCTTGGGCAAAATAAACATGTTTGCCCAATACATTTGCATACTAATTAGGATAGACTAAATTAATTGGATTCTTCCTGCATAAGAAATTGCCTTGCTAGTCTAGTGGTTCATTCCACTTGTTATCTTGTCCACAAGAGCTTTACAGTTATGAGTGCTCAGTCTTGTTGAGATGAGTGGCACACCAAGGTACATAGTTGGCAGAGATCCAATCCCAATCTGTAATAAGTTAGAGATGGAAGCCTCCACAGAAGAAGATTGTGCTCAGTTTTGATCAGTTGCGTCATATTTTTTAAGCTCAAATTAGAAGGTTAAGAGCACAAAACAATAAGCAGTTCTAAAGTGGGCTTCATATAGACATGAAAACAAATTGATTTTTATTTGTGAAAATGAGACGGTTCAATGATATTATCAAACAAACTTGTGAGGCCCGAGTTCCATTTTCATTTTTCTGCATTTCTTGTTTTTCTTGCATTTGGGTACTTTACGTGTGGGGATGTGTGCTACGAGGGTTTCAGGATTCCTTTTGGAAATTTTTTCGAGTCACGGACTCTTAGACATACATTTAGAGTCATTTTATTCATTTCGAGTTATGGGCTCAGGTTTGGATTTCATATTCGGGAATTTTTCCTACATTGTTTCTTTTATTTTAACTTATGTTGAGACACTTGGTTTGAGATTAGTGCATCTATATTTGTGTTTGAATGCTTAAGAATATAGATGGTATGGTGGTGGGCCCTCCTTTTCCACTCACTTGGCGTTTGTATATAAGGAGAGGAGAGTAGAGGAGAGAGGAGAGCAGAGCAGCAACGAAGGACAATTATTAGTTCCCCCACTCCCAGCCGACACCTCCCTTATTTCTTCCTCTTCCTCTTCCTCTTCCTCTTTTCTTTTTCTTTCCACCATTTGTACGTACTTTAGAATAGGTTTTGATTTACTTATCTTGGGAATTTGTAAGAGTGGTAGAAGGAAAGCTTGAAGATCACACCAAGGGCTACACACCGTTGGTTTTAGTTTTCAATTTTGTGTACTTTCATCTTGGAACAATTTAGGGCTTTCAAGTCCTAGTGAGGTAGGGGTATCTAAATAATAAGGTTTCCTTGGTTTTGTAAGTGATTGTATGTTTTTTCCTCTCCTAGCATGCTATTGTAGATATACACTAGACCATGCTGACGGGTTTATTAGCATGTTTATAATTCTGATTAAATGAGATGTAATTGGTGTATTAGCTTTCCTACTTGAATTCTAGTATGATTAGTAAATTAATTTCAAGTGAATTGTATACTAGTATGCTCCATTGCTCCTATGTTGTAAATTCTATCGTACACATAAAAATTTATGCATGTTGATGTTTAAGTGATGGAAATTATTTATTAGTTGCTGGAAATAATATTTTATGCTTGAAATTATTTATTAGTTGCTGGAAATTTTATTAATGTGCTGCTGGAAATTATAACCAAAGTGCTGGAAATCATATGTGAGGTATTGGAAATTTTGTATGAATTGCATATTTTTTAAGTTGAATTGCAATTATAGCATGCTTAGTTGCCTTGCTCATGGGCTATTCATAACAGCCAGATTCTTTTCTGGTTGACTACAACTTCAAGAGATACAACAAGTATAGGCAAAAACAAATGGTTGAACAGAATAATGATGGGTTAACAAAATTCTGTTGGAATATCATTCAAGTTAATTAATTTAGATATTTAGAGAATAGTCTTTTCACTAATTAAAGGTAATAGTCTACTATGCAGTGGCACATGGCCTATAAGTAGAGGTCAAAAGATTGACCAATTCATGTATGGTTCACGCTCAACTACGTATTTAAGAGCTTTATCCGTTCTAGTTAGTACAGTGCACCAAAATAATTTAATAACATGTTCGACCTCATTATGTAAGCAAATCAAACTTGAATAAACCTTAGTTGACCCAATTCATGTATAGGTCACACTTAACTCCATAAAAGCTCTATCCATTTTAGTTTGTACAGTACACGAACATAATTTAATCAACATGTTCGACCTCGTTATGTAAGCAAGCCAAACATGAATATACGTACTTGACTCAAAAAAAAATTTTATAAGATACAATGGCTTCAAAGATGAGCAATAACATTTACTTCCAGCATCACATCTAAAGCCTTATCAACCCCAAATGCTCTAAGAGTTAAAAACTATAAAATGAGTGAGCTAAACATTGCCCAAAGGAATTTCTAACTATATCAATATACAATTTTTGTACCATAGAAATAGTAGAGGTTACAAAAAAATAAATAAATAAAAATTAAAGAGAGAGAGTTCATTCTGCCACTCCTACTCTTTGAACAGTTCACCTTCTATGGCTTCCTCATTTTGATATCAAGATCAACAATAATTGTAACTCCTTAAAGATGAAAAAAAAAACAGTAATTGACAAAAATAACAATTATAAATAATTTATTTACTTATCCGAAAAAAGGAAAAATTAAGTAATAATAATTATAAATTTATGCTACCTGCTAGGGCAATGATGACATTGAGGCTATAACAGAACTTAACAAGAGCAAATATATGACGTAAAAGTAAAATCAGGCATCTTGCCTCTTCTTTCCTTTCTTCTTTGGCTTTTCTCTTCTTTTCCTGGATTTCTTAGCTTCTCCATGCAAAACTGGTGACACCGTACTAGTGATTGTATCACGAAATTTTGCTCCAAATAAAACTAAGCTCTCAGTATATGCATCCGCATAAAATGAGTCCCATGATTCTGTACATCCACCAATTTTTGGGCTACATAATTCTCGTTTTTCTTTGGGATCATAAGCTACCAAATATCCAAAGCTGCTTGTCCAAAATAGAACTTCGCCTTTTTTTGTAAAGCCAGCTACACAATCAAAATATTTTCTACTCACATCAATATTGAATAATCCTCCAGTCATATCAAAATTTAATAACCTTCCAGTCATATCAATATTAAATTGTTTAGTCCAAGACTCTGATATGCCATACTCTTTCATCACCCATATGCGACAAGTATGTTGGCCTCGAATACCATCATTAATCACAGAGTGATTCTTGAAACTTAGCAACACGAACATTTTCCATAAAGTCATCAGTAGGCATGCCATTGGGCAGCATGATCTCGCCAAATACCTCATCACCCATGTGGAATGACACGATCAAGACGGACAGATTGCTACTACTCATACTTCTGAAATCCCAAGCAAGCCAATGTGCAGTCCCTTTCACATAAGCCTGGGAAGCATGCTTGCAAATGGTATATGGAAGATCCAAATGGGTGATGTTCCTCCATGTGCCTGTTCTCAAACTGAAAATCTCAACCTCAGGATGATTTTGATCAAAATTAGGTCTGAGATATACAATCCTGATAACCTTGTAGTCATCAGTCAGGGAATCGAAGCCGAACCCAATGCTATACCAATTAGTATTGTGTGCTTGAAAGGTGACAGGCGGAAGAGTCATCATCTTATGAATTGATGGATTCCAGAGACAAAGCTCATCCTCTAAACCATAGGAAATGCAAACGATCCCATTGCAACTATGGATTGTACTAGAATCAGGGCTTATGTTTACCTCCAGTGGAAACCCGAGCGCTACATAATCACAAAACATATCGTTTTCGCGACGTAGTAGTGAGTAATGCCTTAAAGTGCCATAGTTAGTGCGTCTTTGAAGTAGAAGATGGTTGTTGTTGGCAAGAGATGATCGATTGAGTTGTGTGGTGATGAAACTAGGGTTCGTGATCAAAGAGTTCCATGATTTGCAGACACAAACGAACCGGACGAGTGTTTTGACCGGTAGTCTACTGAGGACATCGATCAGCACATCGTTAGGTAGGTAATGTGACATGTTTTTTTTTTTTTTTTTTTTTTTTTCGGTCTTTTTTCAATTCTTCGCTTCAAACAGACAAAGATGGATAAACAAACAAAACCCTTAAATTCTTAGAGTCAACAAAGTTTTCTTGGTACTTTACTAAACCCTAGTAGTGTTTACGCCTTACGGCAGCTTAGGCATGCCAACCCAAACCCAACTCAACTAAGGCCCAACTTTTTTACAATTAAGGTTTGGTCTATGTTAAAAAATCTAAATTCAATCTAAATTGGGATTTAATTAGCATGGACTTGAGTTGACATGATAGCAACCCAAGTCCAACTCGAAGTTAAATTCTAATATTATATATATATATATATTAACAAAATGGGCTATTTTTCACTTTGGTTGAATTAAGTAAAATAATTGCATATGCATCAATAATTATTGTTTAGGTCCAAAATGCCCTACAAACATTTATTCCAAAATACTAAAATTATTCTCCTAAAATCAAGTAATTTCTTTAAATAATTAATTGCACAATATTTAGCCATATTCGTCGTTGATGTGAACTAATAATAAATGGAAACACTATTTTAATTACTAAATCATAGATGGTAATTTCACTAACTGTGATTTGGTAAGTGTGTATCTACCCATCATATTTGATTTGGTAATTAAATATGACATGTTCATTTATTATTGATTCACATCAACAGTAAGTATAGTGTACATCCTCACTAGTGAGGATCTAAGTATTATTCTAATTTATTTATTTAAAAAATTTAAGAAAATAAAATATTTCCTTTAACTTTGGACCATATTGCAATCAACTGTTAGTCCCCAAAAAGAAAAATATAATTAAACTAAAGAATATATAAATCGTCTTTGCTGTGGTGTATGCCTTGAGATGATCATCAATTTTTTGACTCAATGAATTACACTTGTTTTAATAAAAATAAAAAAATTTGATTGCTGGTGTACCATTTACTAAAGCAACCATTTAGTTTTTTTATAATCTCCTTCTACCGTGCCTATGTATTGTATGTGTGTGTATATATATATATATATTTATAGGAAAATTTTCACATTTGCAGGTTTATATTGGTATGAATTAGGAGATATGGTTAAAATTATACACACACACACATATATATATATAATGAATTTCCACTTACCGAAATAAAAAATTCTATACATAATGAATTTTTACTAAATTTTTTGTATATTTATAAATTAACATTTGCAGATTTGAACCGATATAGATTAGGACATACGTTAAAGTTCTTTGCACAAATATATATATATATATATATATATATATATATATATATATGCTATTTTTTATTTTATTTATTTTGGTAATATATACACCATATGCAAAAATGCCAAGTTGAAAGTCAACTCAAAAATCTTGTTTTTCTTAATTTTATGAATGAGAGAATTATTTGATTTAGGAAGGATATTTTGGTATTTTGAATAAAAGTTTGGAAGGTATTTTGGACATAAATAATACTACGTAGTTATTTAAGCATATGTAATTATTTTACCTAACTCGATCAAATTGAAAAATTAACTTTAAAAATAGACCGATTTATTATTTAAGGCTCCTAAATCTATTTAGTGTAGTTTTCCTACATTATATCTATATTCAGATAATGATCGTCTTTTTTCTTTGTTTTTGAGCTCTTTGAGAAGGTACTTAAGCATTCTTAGCTTTTGCACGTAAGGATGGCAATTTCTTTCGACCCGTGGATTTTCGCCCCGCCCCCGCCCCCGATGGGGTGGATTTGGTATTCCCTTAAATGGGTTTGGGATGGATATGGTAAAACAATTGAAAACCCGAAGCAGGTTTGGGACGGGGGCGAATTTAGTAATGAACCCGCCCTGATTATATATGTATCTTTTAATTTTTTTATATAAAAAATATATATTTAATATTTTTAAGACTCTTAGTACTTGGGTAGAAGTATCCGTTAATAAATTAATATTTATTATTTAGTAATTTAAAAGTTGTGTCAACTTATTTATCAACCCAAATTGAACACATTGGGCTAGTTTTTTACATAATAAAAGTAGAATAATCCGACCCGCCCCACCCCCAATGTGCCCATCAATTAAACGGAATACATGGGGCGGAGTCAGTACTTTTGTCTACCGGAGTAAGGGCGGAGATGGTATAATAATTACAAACCGGTTCTGAAGTAGGGACGGAGTTGGGATAACAAATTTTCTAACGGAACGGAACAGAGTTAAGCCAAACTTGTCCCAACTCCGCCCGTTGCCATCCCTTCACAACCCTCAACATATTGCATCCCTGAACCTCAATGTTCCAATTCTGAGAAATAGTCGAGATGAAATTGGAGCTCAGAGTCCAAAAGTGAAGAATCTAAGTGAAAGATTCCTCTTAGGAATCAATCACCAATCTTAACCACCATTGGGAAGTGATGAAAAAGGCCACAAGGGAGAAAATGACAATCTAAGATAGGGAACCTTGTGTTCCAATCTTGGTTATGAAGTCTCTCTTATGCTTTATAAAAATGTTGGCATAACCAAAGCTTTTGCTGGTCCAAGTGTGAAACACACGTGTACCTTAGAGTTCTCACCAGACGATTCTTAAATTCTTTCATGCCAATTATCCACCTAAGAGCCCCACCATAGGCATCATTGGCATGTAAAAGGACATTAAAGTCACCCATCACCACCCAAGGATCATCATTTGTGTTCAAGAGGTTGAGACTTCTCTAAAGGTCCCTTCTATTAGTGGCAAGATTAGCAGCATAAAAAAAAAATGGCAAGACAATTGACTTTAGGTTACTACAACAAATGGAGACAATTGTGACACAAAAAATCATCATTAATACACAATAGGATTAAAATCATAAAACTCCATCACTATCCCAAAATGTCACATAACCCCCTATACTAACCAATAACCTGCATAACTAACAAAAATGATCATTTTATGCCATTTATGTGACGGAGCAATTAATTGACATGTAGAATGATAAAATTGATCTCTATTGTTAAAATAATAAAACCCCCTACATTGTCTAAAATCAGTCATATAACCTCCCTTTACTAAGAAAAATATCTAAAAACTCCATTACTTTTTTAAAATCCATCATATCAGCCCCAATCCCTCTTTCTTTTTTTTTTTTCTTTTTTTTTTTTTGCTTTGAAATAGTAACGGGAAATAAGCATGTTCCTGTCGTGTGCCAACTTTTAAAATAATATATGACCAGGATGTCTGTTTAGCCCCTCAATCAAGTCCGTTGTATTCATTTAGGGCTGAGACCGAGAATTTTGATTTGGAGGGACCGAAATTGTATTATGTAATAAAAATTAATTTTTTTATACATAATTGTAATATAATTTTCCATACAGTAGTGTTTAACTACTCCTTGGGAGCAAGAAATTATATACTCACTTTTAAGATAGCCTTAGGATCTAATCCTACTGTAATTATTTAATTAACTGTTCTTTTCTTTATTTTAAGAAACTTACCATTAAACATCGATATAGGGAAATGAGAACTAGACAATTTATTAATGAAACAATAATAAAACAATTTGACTTCTATTTGCCCGGGCTTCTTCATCCTGTCAAAAACTCTTCCCCATGTTCAACAATGAGAAGCCAATAAAAATTTTACCATCATCAGTGGAAACCAAATAAAATTAATCAAAAGAGGTATATAAAATGACCATTAAATAAGATTGCTCGAGAAGCATTGATTATAATCAAATTTTAAATTTTAAGATTAATCCATGTTTTATACGCAACTTAATTAAGGACTTTGAATTTGTTCACCAACTAATTTAAAATTAGGAGATGATTATTGGCTTCATAAATTTTTTTGCAGGGTCTAGCAAAACAACTCTTGATACATTATTATATATTCATCTAAATGTTCAAAGTGTTAATCCTGTAAGAGCATGCCAATTTTTCTTACTTTATTGCATAATTTATCAATAGAATTGATATAAAGTGTGGGAATAAACTACAAATGATGACTTTTAATTTTTCAATTAATTTTACTTGATCTTAGTGGCTGCTTGCAAATTTGACAAAGAGTAATCAAGTTGTTATGGAGAGAGAGCATAATGAATAAAGCTTGGGAGTAATCTTTGAAACGAAATCAATGAGAAATAAGTTTTTTATGAAATAGAACGCTAAGCTGTATTTTCCAACATAAAATTATCCAAAATTCAACATATTAAAGAAAAAATAGTGTATGTACTGAATATGATTTGAATCTCCAGCCATCCTTTTAGGCATTGATCTAGGTTATAGATAAAATCTCTTCTTTACGCACATATTAAAATAAATCAACCTGCCTAATAAATTTTTATGAGTTAAAATGCAGAGTGGTGACATTAATAACGTTATTTCGTTGGCAATAATTGTAAACACACTCGATTTATGGAACTGAGGAATAACAATTCTTGAGTACAAAGTTTATAAATTGAGTACTGAAAGACGAATTGTTTTATTCTTGTTTCCTTTAATAATTTGTCTAGTTCTGTCATTTCTCTATAACAATGTTTAATGGTATGGAAAGAAAGACTAAGTTTCTTAAAATAAAAATAAAAAGAAAAGTTAATTAACAAATGGGTAATTTACACAAACCTCCCCTATGATTTACCATAATTACAAGGACCTCCCCTCCTGTTTGGGAAATTACTCAGACCTCCCCTACTTTTAAAAATATCCTACACGGACCTCCCTTCCGATACAGTCAACGACGAAAATTGATGACGTCATCTACTATTTTTTAAAAATCCCTAAAATACCCTTGT